CAAAAAAAAAAAAAAAAAAACCTGCACAATGGATAAAACAGTAGAACACCTTTCCATTTTGATGAATCATACTCTACAATTCATCAATAACCTTAATGTCAGCCCAGTAAGCACAGGCCACTGCTGATTTACTGACTATCACTTTTCAGTGTTGAGTGCTGTTCAGACATCCTATGTTCTAGGCAGTGATTTTAGTCAAGCTCTGCCCAGGAAAAGCTGAGGGTCAGAATATTAAGTAATTTACGCAGTGCCATACAAAGTACATCTTCAGACAGTTTTTCAAGGGGCTGGGGATGCAGCTCACCTAGCATGCATAAGGTCCTGGGGTTGGATCCCAAGCATCACATAGGACCAAGTGAGGCTGTGGGTGACTGCCATCTCAGCATTCAAGAGGTGAGATGGGAAATTCAAGGTTATGCTCAGCTCCATAGTGAGTTCAAGGCCAGCTTGGGCTAATATGAAACTCCATCTCTCAAAACAGCAACAACCAAAACGAACACAAGGAATACCTATTTCCAAGGCTCATGCTTGAAGGTGTGGTGGAAGTTTAAACAGCATATCTTCTCAACACTATTACAGCTGTATTTGGCAAGCACTGCCTCCAGTGGTCAAATATTAAGAAACCAAGTATAGGGCTGGAGAGATGGCTCAGCAGTTAAGAGCACTGGCTGCTCTTACAGAGGACCTGAGTTCAATTCCCAGCAACTACATGGTGGCTCACAACCATCTGTAATGAGATCTGGTGCCCTCTTCTGGCCAACAGGCATACAAGCAGGTAAAACGCTATATACATATAAATAAATCTTTTAAAAAAAGAAAGAAAAAGAAACCAAGTATAAGGATATCTGGGCTTTCACAGTCTAGCTATAAAAATCACACCAACAGGCATATAGTGACCAACTTTGACTTTGTCAATTACAACCGCCTCTTCCAAGGGCTGGCCAGCTATTACCATCACTTACAAGGGAAAGAGAAATCATGACAAAAGAGCATAAGAGACCTACATTTAGAATAGAGAGTCCATTGCATTACATGTATTTTTCTCACATGCCAAGGTCATTTTCAACTTGGGTTTTTGTTTGTTTTGTTTTATCCCCCATATTTCAATGAGTTTGCAGTTGGCTTTCATGGAGGTCAATAATGTAAAGAGTGGCGGGAAATTACATTTATTAACTCTTCTGTCACCAAAAAGTTAAGTGAAACTGCTCATAGGAAGAGTGATGTGGCCACAGACTTGACATGGGAGGGCACTAACTGGGCTGGAGTAATCCAACCAGAGTGGGCCAGAGAGAATTTGAAAGAAATGAGACAAGTCCCAAGGTTCAACACCATAGGGAGGCTCCATCCTGCACCTCACATCAAGGGTCAAAACAAAGCAGCCAATGACAAGGACAATCGAGATGGGAACACAGAAGAGTTTGACATAGGTCTGCAGTGAGTCTGGGGTGGCAATGCCCAGGTACAGATTAAATAATGTCTTTCCTTCCCCTGTCACTTTGGCCATCTTCAGGCTCTTCAGGTTCCTCACCATTAAAGTTGAAGATTCTCTTGACACCATCCATCTACCGCTTGCTTGCAAACAACTCATGGCTAAAAGGGACCTGGCTGGGTTCACTGGAGGCCCGGGAGCTCCTAGAGTATGAGCATATGAGTACTGCTAACGGAAAAGTAGATTATGCCACAAGCAAAGAACTTACCTTACTAGGAGGTGGTCCATGGTCATCCAAATAAGTGGAATTTCCTAGGGGGGAAAAGAACATTGAATGTAAATGTTTTAGTCCCAAAATAATTTGGTGTAAAGCCATAAAAAAAAGACATTCTAGACATATTTCTATTCTACAAAAATACCAAGGGAAACTGGGTAATTCATCACCACTCTGTCCAGTTGTGTTGATGTTAAGCGTCTAGTTACTTTTGGCAGGGACTCACATGGGTAGACATGCACACAAACATCCACAGGGAGAAACACACAACCAATACCTATTGAGTGTATTTCGGATTCCTGGGTCTGAAACTTTAGTGAGCATCTACTACCTGACGGACTCGTTAACCCACTGACTATCCGGCCCACTCCCAAAGTTCAGATCCGGTGGCTCTGCACATGTAATTTTGTACCCAGGAATCAAGTGATGTGGGTGCTGCTGGGCCTAGAACCAGACTTTGGAGAACTCGACATTATTTCTCCAGTTTGCCTTGAACTTGCCAACTTTCCTTCATCTTTCCAGCTTAAGCTTGAATGTGATTAACGGCCCCCTGCTGGTGTGTTTTCCTAGTACATGGTTATTGCTTCCTAATAAGTAAAAAACAAAGAGATTCAGGAGGGCTGGGTGAGGACTCAGTGGCGAGAGAGAGCGTGTTGGCTGCACAGGAATGAGAAGCTGAGTTTGGATCCCCATAACCACTTAAAAATCCAGGTATGTGGCAACAGCCTCCACCTCTGTGCTAGCATGGTGGAGACAGGCAGATTACAGGGCTTCACTGGCCCACCATTCTAGCAGAAATAGAGAGATCAAGGAGAGACCCTGTCTCCAAAAAAATAAGGTGGAGAAACCATTAGACAAGGCATCTCAGTGTCAACCATACACACCTGTGCGTATGACACACGTACACACATGTGACTCAAGGAAGTCTGGGATGCTTCGCTAAGTGCTTTATTTATATACACTGCTTTATCAGATTCAAATTTCAGAGGTGGATTAGAACTGCTCCCATTTTCCAGAGGAGAAAACAGAGACCTAGAGGATTCCAGTAACCTGCTCATGGCCACATAGCCATAGAACTGCACACAGGACAAAAGGCTGAGGTTTCTAGCGTGTGTCTGGGCATCTGCCCATCTGAGAATCCAAGCATCTTGCCCTCTTGACTGTTTCGTAGCCTGGGCACTGCACATGTTAGCATCTGGTGACACTGGATCACGTGGAGACATCTACCTGGAAGCTCCTAGCCAGCGGGGACCCTGAAGAAAGAACCCAGGGGAATCTCCAGCCGTGGAGCAAGATGATGGGCTTGCTACAGGAACAAACGCAGAAAACACCAGAAGCATAGGTACTTATAAATAATAGACTCGGGAATATGATAAATGTCCTACTTTGAGTAGATGAAAGGTACTTTTGACAGTACACCATAAAAATAACTTAGAAAATTGGAATAAAAAAGGAAGCAGGGTTTAAGCCAGGGACAATTCAACTGGGGACATTTTTCCAAAGGCAATAAATAAGTAGGGTTTGGCATACAGATTTTTCCACCCTGAGTCATCAGCTATCTCTTTTGTTTTGGAGTCTTCTGATTTATAATCCACCTGACAGCCACAGGGACTGTACTCTAATTGCCCATGTGTGTATATTAACCAGACAGCAAGGTCCACTTTCAACTCCCAGACACGACATAAATACCTGCTGTGCGCACGACAAGGCTGGAGGAACCCTTTAAATGAGAGCATGATGAACAATTTGTTGGAGGCTTATTACTGTGCCAAACCCCACCAGGCACATACAGGAATAGGAAGAGCAACGTCAGACCTAATAACAGAATATGTCCTCACATAGTTGCCTATGTCTAGCAGACCGTTCAGGAATATCCTACAAAAATGAAAGCAGAGTAGTTGCTCATCATGAGACTGTGTCTTCCCCCAAATGATGTAACAAATCCCAACACACTCCATTCAACGTATTCTCCAGGCATCCTGCTCAAAACTCAAAACTGGCTTCAACAACGAAATGTTTCTGAAATTCTAAAAGTTTCCATATGAGTAAAAAGTTCATGAAAACTACTGATAGGTAGCACAAAGCCCAGAAGTTCTGATGAGTATGACAGATGTCCCTAGACCTTGGAAGGAAATGGTTAGGGCAATGCCGGCATGCTCTTGTTTTCCCAGCATCCTCCTCTGTTTAGCCACCAGTTACAAAACACCACTGATTCTACAGAAGGACCTAGATGCCAAATAAGGAAGTTCCTATCTTGGCCTTTAGATGATATAATAACCTTGACCGAAGTAATTCTTTCTAAAGATTTATTTTATTTATATCTGTGTGTATGACTGTGTATCTACATATGTGTGCGTGCACATGTATGGGTTTCCTTGGCAGCCAGAAGATGGTATTGGATCCCCAACAGCTAGAGTTATGGGCAATTCTGAACTAGCCAACATGAGTGTTGGGAACTAAATTTGGGTTCTGTGTAAGAACAGCAAACATACTTAACTGCTGAGCTAGTGAGTCAGTCCCTACCAGGGACTTTAAAGGGATTGTTTTCCCTAGAAAGACCTTACAAAGGGGCATAAGCATCTCACCTAAGATACACAGCCAGTGAAGGCAGCAGAAACCAGACCCTTACAGTATGACTAGTGTTAATACATCCCACTCAGCACATAGCACATCTTAAGATTTATTATCTTCTTATCTTTCTCCTCCTTTTCCTCCCTCCCTTCATTATAGAAGACTTTCAAAAGCAGATAGTGTGCTGAAGGAGTAGGTCAACTCTAGTTAACCCTGCTTTCTGCACACGGGAAGGAACAGGGCTCATCACTACTAGCACCTGACCCTAGGTCCTGTAATTGTGTTAGCAGATCATTACATTTGTCCTTGTTTAGTTTATCACAACCCAGAGGTACTAAATGCCTTACACACACTGGCAATAGAGGTTCATCGGGGGTGGGGGGTGAGGGGCAAGGGCGTGGGGGGAGGTTAGGGCAAAGCTACAGGGAGACAGGTATTTCTGAGACATGCACAGCCAGCTTCTCTCCTAAGGTGTGACTGCAATCCCTTGATGGAGCTTTTTATCTTAGGATACTAGACTTTCAAAACTGTCAGGATGTCTGAAAATGCATTAGGTAACTTGTTCGCTACAGAGATCAAAGGACAATGAACTGTTATCAAATGCATTGCCTAGAACAGGCTCCCAGGCCACAAAACTGTTCAGCCTTGCAGATGATTATTATATTCAGTGTTAACTTTCAGAGAGGTAAAAGCATACCCCAAGCTCTTGGTGCCTTTGGGCACAGAGCTCAGGATCTAAATTCTGGAAAGGGAAAAATGAGAGGAAGGTTAAGTAGGACCGGGCTGGGACAGAGGATGTGCCCTTGCCCTTGCCGGACACCACGCTCCTGTGCCTATGCACTCGAAATCCCACCGTCCTCTTGCCGTCTGTTGTGATGGAGTCCTCTAGGAGGGTTATACACAGAGCATAGGAAACCATCTGCAAACATGTTCCATCTAAGCACATAGGAGTTACAGCGTGAGCAGTCAGCAGAGCTCCCCCATGTTCCACCATAGTCTCCCAGGACGTGTTACCAGGGTCTCTCTAATTCTAAACTATTCTCAGCAACGATTTATTTTAGAAAACTCAGGGGAGGTCTAGGAACTAGGAGGCCAAGGATCTGGACTTTCGGCAGTTTGCTCTCTTATACCCAGATCTCCACTGGCAGAACCGACAGGCTAACCATCTGAGAGCCATTGATGCTTTATATGACAAGATGGCGAACATGGAAAACCAGATATATATCTAGCAAGCAGGTTAAATGTTGCTTTTGTAGCAGAGAGTACCCCCCAAAAGTACTCAGATCACAGTGTTCTACATCCTCAAAGATTTCCATATGCACATTTGTAAAACAAAATAAACTCATAGCTTATAAGAAAAGCACATGAGGCTAACACCATTCGACAAAAATACTGAGAACAATGTCTGTATACAGTAGGCACCTAATAAGTGTTTACTAGGTTGGAATATGCTTTTACCTCTCTGAAAGTTAATGTTGAATATAATCATCTGGAAGGCCAAACAGCTTTGTTGCCTGGGAACCTATTCTGGGCAATGCATTTGATAACAGTTCATTGTCCTTTGATCTCTGTAGCGAACAAGTTACCTAATGCATTTTCAAACATCCTGCTAGTATTTCTAGTCATATCAGCAGCAGGGTAGGAGCTACTTCCATGCCTGTCCATCTTCTTCTCTGATCTTTCATTCCTTGCTGCACATTCCACTTGCTTACAGAGCTTTGAAGAAATGCAATGCCAGGCTCCAGGCGCTGCAACTCGGATTTAATTATTCTGGAAAAGGTCCCAGGCAGTTGGTATCTTTAAAAAGCTCCTTAGGTAATTCTAATGTCTAGCCAGGGCTCAGAACCACTGAGCTATAACACAAATAAATATATTTCATAACTCATGCCAAATCCAATTTTCTAGAAGCAAAAAAAAAAAAAAAAAAAAAAAAAAGAATATAGCCTTTCCAGACTCGTCTTAATCAGGGGTCACCTCCATCCAGGGTGATGAGAGATTTCCACACAACTATCATGTCAAAGGTGAATGCTGATGGAGTGTGCGTGATCATGGAGTTACCGTTGTGGGGATGCTGATCAAGCAGATTCAAGTAACATTTGCTCCGGGGAGGGGGGGGGGGGGGGGGGCGGTGTAAAGAAACTGAAAAGAGGGAGGCAGGCTACAGACTTCCTGAAAAGGTACCAGCAAAGGTCACCTTGAAGCTTACTCTAAACCCTTCCCAGACTCCAAAATTCCCTTTAAAAGAGTACTTCAGAATACACAGCCACTGCAAAGAGTATGCAGCTCTGTGAACTCTTGTGTTCAGGTTCATTGAGAAGGTGAGTGAATAAATCCGTCCATCATCTGCCTGGAGTTTCCTGGACTTGACATAACTTAACCAACCAGAGTCCCAGAGACACTCACATATGATCCTCACACACATTTTATGTATCCACGAGACCCTGAAGAAATCCCCTGGGAAATCCGA